CTGATGGGAGAAGTAACCACTCACTTTCAATAATTGATGTCATACGTCAAAGAATGGCAACTCCAGATACAGCAGCCAGATTGGCTCGATATTCCCAGACGCCTTTGGATGGAGTTATAAGGTATTTATTTATTGTGTTGCGACCCATAAGTGCAAAATGGTCAGCAATGACGAACAATAATAGCTTAACAGCATGAATAGTATTGATGCATATAATAACAATAGTAACATATGATAGTGACATATATAATCTGGCTGGCGACTGCAAGAGTTCAGACTTTCATGTTAACTTTGTGATTCCGCCATCTTGTTTTGTTGGAGTTTAATTCAGTCCATTCTTAGTAGAGACTGGAAAACTCTATTTTTCTATCGTTACTGAATTGTGATTTAGCTGAGACGCTCCCGATAATGACACTGTCGACTGGCCAAAATCAAATAGCTCAGATTCAAAGCTATCAAGCCCTAATATTTCTTTTATTGGAGCAGCTAAATCTTCCTATGTGCTCGATACAAATTTGTAGAGATTGAGACAGAGAGATTGACTCCCTAGCTTAACTTAACTAATAAGATACATCTCAAACATTTTTTGGAACGACCTTCTAAAAGCGCAAATAACGTATCAGTAGCGTAACGTCATAATTAATAATATAACATTTTTAGTAAATTTCAGGACTTTCCAGTTAACTCCAAGTAAAATATTTACCAAACTAAAGGGAGGGAATGATTGAGTGAAAATAAAATTAAGCGAATATACCTTTTTTCCTACATTTAACATTTAACTTGTCAAAAATCAGTGAAGTTAATTCCATACAAAACGCAGAAAAAGTCAGTGAAAGTTAATTCCAGCTAAAATAAAGTATTTTAAAAGTAATTCAAAAGTGAAAGCTGACGCAAACTGGCCATATAGATGACATAGTACTGTTTTACTGGACAATAGCACATTTCAATTATTTTGTTATCATATACATATATTTATTACAGCAGTGAACAACGTCGCTATTTTTGTTCAGATACAAATAAATGGCTCTTGCCAACTAGTCACTTTGCATGTGCTCCTGGCCAAAAAATGACAAGTGTTATTACAGGGCTTGAACTTCAAGGAAGTATCAAAAGTAATTGCCTCGATGCTCAAGAAGTTTGCAGAACAACCCCCATGCAGGTCCTATATGCAATTTTTTAATATTACTAAAATATTACCTTGAAAATGAATACCCTTTTGTTATATTTGCATCATGATTATTTATATGCAGCAGTTATCATTTTTTGTAGAGGAATGTACCAATCTCAGAAGTGGATGCTCAACAGACAATATCACACTCGAATGATAAAGGAACATGAGCAGGACTTGTTTTGTGAAAGATGTTGTCACATACAAATCAAAGAAGATTATAGGATACATCTCAGCATTTAAGTAGGTTAATTTTATTATTAGTTCTAATGTAATGAGATACGATCTGTATCATTTTGTTAAAACTGTCACTCTGCATATATTATTTTTTACTCCTGTGTGCAAAACGCACAATGAGAGTCCTTGTAGTCTGCATATCTGTGTGTACGTCTTTGAAATTAAAGGCACATGTACAAACATATAAACATGGACCACAGGATTCAACCTTGCAGTGTTTATATCACCTATATCCATCTATACCTCAATAGCCATTCATCTACTTGGTACAAAGTCTCTCTGGGCTAATGAACAAATCTTATTAGGTTTTGGTTGAAATCTGTGCATAATAGTTACCTAAGTTGCGTAATAATTATTCCATTTCAGCCGTTACTCTAATATTGCAAAAGCCAATTTACAGATTTCAGTGTAACTGTATTTCTGTGGGGACTATAGTTAAAATCTATGCTTATTAATCACCTAATTTACATTAATGTTGAGCTTGACTTCAATTGAATGGTGAATATCCGAATACCTTTACAATGTGGAAATTAAAATATGCCCAATAACATCACTGTTTGCAAAGTTAATTGTTTGTATATTATATATATGAAAATAAATAGTTATGCTTAACTGATGATACCATTAAAGTTCGAACACAGCACCTAGTTTGTCGGTATGAAGGGCCACTTGATAATGGTGTATTGGGGTGGAAACTATCAAATCAATCTGTACTTGAAAGACTATCCAAAAATGCGAGTACACTGTAGTAGTAAAAAAACATTTGTTTAGTTTCTTAATAAAATTATCGCTAGTTAGCTTTATTCTGTAGATCATATTGATTTCACATTTTTTTAATAGTGTCTTAAATTTGAAATATTTTTATATCTGTTTCATGGTTTTATTACACTCGATACCCAGAAGTTCTTTACCAGTATGTTTCTTTTGATATTTAGTCTGTACTCTTCACTGTTTTAGTTATCTAAACACTAACATGAATTTCAAAAGAGACACATGTCTGTGCATTTGACAAATAGTCTGCCTAAACATGCGTTACCTATCACGTTTGTAACTTAATATTTATCATTTTCTTGTAGTCATGCAAGTCTCTGTGTGAGGGAAATATCCTCAGAAAAAAATGTTAGAGGAAAAAAAGTTGTTAGTGTTCCTGTAGTACTATTTTCTGATGATGTGGTTGGAAGTACCACCAACAAGTTGAACTCGTTCAGTGTATGGTATCTGCTGTTAGGTTGTTTACCAAAAAAAGACAACAGCAAGCTTCAAAATATATTATTGTTGAATGCATCCAACTCTGTCAATGCTTCAGAACTTTCTGAACCTTTAGTCTCTGAACTAAAAATATTGAAAAAAAATACCAATTTGATGCAATTTCCCAGAGCGAGCAGCGACTTGTTGATATTGGCGCCTTCTCTGAACCTTGCACCACGGTTTGTGGTAACAGTTGCTCTCTCTGAACCAGCTAAGTCAATCAGTGACATCTTGGCTACTTTCACATCGGCACTCAGCCCAGCTGTACGGGCTTTCTGTCTGACAAACACCTATATGTGTTTAATAGATAAACAATGGGACTCTATTACAAGCGACTCTCCAATATAAGTGAACATAAATCAATCACTGGATTGTTCACTGGAGTATAAAAACATTGCTTAGTTTCACCGTAGACCTATCTATTTGCACAAGTACATTAGCTACTATTAGAGTAAATATTGCATACATCCCGCTAATGATGGCTGTAACTCAGAATTAAACTACATAAGAATAACAATGCAGTTTGCTATTACATTTATTTCAGTTCGGTTTACATACATTGATCCCAGAGTCTTGTATATCATAATTGTTTATATTGTGTACTGCTAATAATTATAAATTCTTGAACAACATCCACAAGCACATGATGTCTTTGCTCTATTCGAAGCAAATTTCAACAGAAGTGCACATACAGTAAAATAGCAAATACATTTATTACATGAACACCTGTCAATTACATGTATGTAATGAACACACATGCTACTAATAGAACAAATATGTAATACTTTGTTATCATCTGAACAAAGAAAATAAAAATTCCTGATAATGTAGACACTTTAGATTTATCTCTATAAGATATGTGTTGGAATCGCAGTGTACTTTTCTCATATTTTTTTAAGGTATGCCTAGCTATGTGTCACATGTTTTACACAAATCAAATCTCCCAGAGAGAACAATCAAAAACTAGCATTTATTAACACTAAGTGACTTTTATTTATACACACTATTCGTTCAAACAAAACAAGGCATGCATGACAAAATCCTGATTATGCAACTGCTACTGTGTATTCTCTTGTGTCAGGAAAACACATCACTGAAGCATGATACAAAAAATGACTGACATGTCTGATGAAGCCAACACACCAATTGGTAGTATTGATAACCATGCATACCTGAAAGACAGCGTGTGATCTCGATGACTGAGCATTAGCATCGGTCGGATGTTGTGTTCTATTTTGATTACCATATTCTAACATGTGCAATAAATTCTCGGCATCATTTTCACCACCATTTTTGACCCGAAATGACCATATTGTGCCCCCAAAACACTACTACAAAATGTTGATAGAATATTTATTCCATTAAAATTTGTATTTGTATACAACAGGAAAAAGATTATTTTAGACTAAATTGGCCAACTTTACCCCCAAAAGACTCGTTTAATTTGGATGAATCAAAATAAAACTTTAAGTGCACTCCATACCATAATACATTGTCTATGTAAGAAAAAGTTATGATTTTGGTTCTAGCATTTCAGACATATAAATGCACGGAATGAAAAACAAGCCCAAATTGTAAACAGACTTTCAGATGAGAGCTAAAATACTTACCAAATGCAGAAGTGGATTTGTCAGGCATCCTTTTTTTCCCTGTAAACATTATGGTAAATTAAGAAACGTCAGTCAAAATAAACAAATAAAATTAAGGTGTTTCTCTGATTTTTATTTTTAATAAAACATTTCCTGTGTCATTGGTGCCAATTTGTGATGGCCATCATTCAAATGAGGACACTGAACACATAGCATATACGCTATATACATGTACTGGCATTGTACATTGTAAAAATGGTCGCAACATTTCATTTCAGTCACTTATTAAAATTACAATTTTGTCAAGCTAACTTCTGAGTTTACGATACAAGATGGCAACTTACAGCGGGTCCTGAACAAAATGTCACTGACCTGTTACTGATGATTCAACCCTGATTTGTGTTTATTGCATATTATGTGATATTAGTCTTGTGTCGGGTCACTTTGCTCAAGTTATTGGTAAGTTATGTGGTTATCATTAAATCACAGCTATTGTCACTTTAAAGCGCGGTGGTCGTCGCGCAGCGCGTGATCGAATTTCATGTAAATAAACAATGTATTTTACACGCGTTGTATACATCGCAATGAGTCCCATATCGAACAGGGCGCGACACGCCCTTTAATACATTTATAGGTGTGACAGGCTGATAATCATCACCAATAATCAGCAAACAAATCTAAAACATGCCAATATGTATGTATACCTCCAATTAAACATTAAAGTCAATGACAATTCTTACTGTTTAGATGGCATTATTTCAACATCCAAGTTGAATGGAACTGGGGAATCGCTGATACATGAACAATGGAGTCCGTGGTGAGACCCTCTGTGGAGTGCTTACCACCTGTGCGTAACTCATCTTCTGACCTGATAAGAGTAAGATGCAAAGGATTAACCATTTATTACTTACATTGGATTGACAACATTGTACATTTAAAACTCATGCATGATGCCGGCTTATCAAACTCACAACATGAAGGCATTATTTTTTTTCATCCTTGTATACCATGGTTTGTCAAAATATTATAATTTTTAATCCATGACAATATGTCATTGTATATCATATTGTGAATTTATCAATATACGACAACAGACGAGTATCCTGACATCAATCGTATAAAACATCAGCCGATACCCGTGACAAGTTCACCTTGTTTTTACAATGTTGCGGGCATAAAAATACTTGTAGCAAGTGCCTAGTGACCATTTCAAATAACAAGGAATGGAGGGTTGTTAAATTTACAGACATACTAACCTGTACCCACTGGGGATCCACAAGTAAATGTTGTTGACAGGCTATTATGACTTGTTAAGTCACCACTGGCAACAATATGAGGTGGCACACTAGGTGATAAACTTGGTGATCTTAAAGGACAGACTCCCTCGATAGCAAAGTCAGAGTTCCGTGACAAACTTGGCAGAGATGTGGCAACTGTTGACTGGTTCTTCGAGTTCTGTGTTTTTGTGTACACATTTACCATTGAGTATCTTGTTGATGACGAGGAGTGAACATTAGTGGTATCATTAATTGTATGCACTGCTTTGTTGAACGTGTTTGACCTTTGGAGTCGTGACATAGATGACCTTGTGTCAGTGTTTGTTAAATTGGACGCTTTAGAAGAGCGTGCTGTGTTTGATGTTGAAGGCGTCCCTGAAGAGAATGCATCAACAGATGCAAGTCGTGACATCATGTTGCTGGATGATCGAGAGGATCCCATTGCCAACGAAGCAGATCTACTGGGATAGGTACCTAAAGCCAGCTCAGCTGCTGAAGTACGAGGTAGTTTTGGTGTCAAGTGTTTGGCCACATCGGCATACGAGACTGAATCCAGGTGAACTGGCGGCTGCAGGAGCTATCGACTTCATTGTTTTCTTTATTTGGAATGCCAAATCTTTTTGGTGTGTGTGATGCATTTTTTTTGTGTGTAAATATCCTAGATGGCCCCTTGGATGCGCATACATTAGTGCATGCAGAGTTATCTTTGTTCACTACTCTTAATGCAGAAATAGGACTACTAGCAGCTGTATCTGAAAATATCAAAAGCAAAAATATTAAACACTAAATTACAGTGTACCACAATTTACACAAGGTACATGTGTATGTGCATCTTGCATTATTTGGAAATGTGAATTCCTAATATGGACTGATTTGGTGCATTTCCAATATGGCGAGCATATTTAAAAAAATAGGGAGACAATTCTGGGCTCTATACACAGGAAGATGTATAATAATAAGATTAATAATAATAAAGAGATGACTCTACCTTAAAATACATTGTCTGAATCGCATGGTTTCTTAATCTTGATGTAACCCCCCCCCCAAAAAAAAAAATCAGTGCAGGATTCAACTGTGAAATCACATATTTATGACCTTGGAAGAGCTTTCAAAACATGCAGCCAATCAGATTTGCCCTACCATATGGCAATAGTTATCAAACAAAAGTATTTACCTGAACTGTCTTCTCCGTTCCTTGTTTTTCTTCTATTGCTCCTAGGAACTATAAAAATAAAGGAAAGTAAATTCTGGTAAGGGTTGGCTTTCTCTAAACACAGTCTTAACAATTTGTCAATCAGTATAATAGGTATAACAGAGGTTGTCAAAATATAAGATTAAAACTAGGGTATCCCAGGAAGTAAATCTGTTGAGATACCAGGCACAAAGGAAGGGTATGCACTATTTATAAATACAACTTTGAGATAAATATTCACAAGAACAAAAATGACATAAGATCTATTACTTAATTAATTTGCAGTGATTTGCAGTGAAATTTCACCTGTAGTGAATCATTATAGAAGTTTTTGGTTTAGACATGCATGGTCAAAATAGGTATTATTTAATGATTCTATTGAAAA